ATTAAGGTTTTGAAAAAATATGAAAAAATATGATAATCTTACTTTAAAAATTTTGAGCTCAAACATATTTCCGAAATTTCCACAGATTTTCTAGAACTTTGCTCACCAAATTTTGTTACTGGTCCAAGTGTAGTGCTTTTCGGACTACACACATTCAGCCAAGTTTTATTTTTTTTCAATTTTTATAACTAGCTTTTAGTACTACTTCTGCAAGTTACTTCCATTACTGCGGGTATATATGTATATATGTGTATAACATATGGTAGTTAGTATAGTAGTTGCTGCTCTGAAACAAACGAATGCGTCGAGACTGGCATTTTATCTCTTTGATGATTTGCGAAATAATAAGTAGCTGATGATAATAATAATTTTTTTCTACATCATATTTTCAACATTTATATATTCATTACCTTTTCTTTCTTTTTCTTATCCATTTTTCTATCACCCACCTACTTGCATTAGCCAACAATGTTGGCGTGTGCGAGTTTTGTCTGTTGTTGGATTTGCGTACATACATATGTATATACGCACTTAAATGGCTCAAAATATTATAACTTCTTTACTGACATACAGTCGAAGAGACTTTTGCCAACTCGCTACACTAAGACTTTATACACATCTATGTACACAGATACATACATACACAGCAAACTGCTTTAATTTTCCATGTGACGTCAAAAATTATTTTTACTACTCAAACCAACGGTAATAAATCAACGCCAACTTTTGAAAGCATAAAACAAAAGCGAAATCGTTATAACATAAAACAAACCCGCGTGCACGTGTGTATGCACAGGCATAAATATATATATAGACACATATGGATTTCTTTCATATATGTATGTATCTGCTTACACGGATTTTGCAGTTTTCTTATCAAATGTATGTAGATATGTGAGTTTGAATGTTTCTCTACGCTTGGGGAATAAAACATGATGGCGCTGAAATGGGAGTACTGATGTGATCCCTTTTTGTTTTTGCTTCTTGGACGATTACCAAATTTTTGCAGTGCGGGAAGAAAGTGTTTGTCTTTGCTTCTAATAAGAAAAGACACGCATTGCGAACAAAATAGAAAGTGTTTGTTTATATAACATGCAGACATATATAAATATGATATACGAGTACGTGTGTATATTCCCATCCATTTTACTCTCCCGCTACTACTTCTACCACTATTTTATGACGCTCATCATTAGAGACTTGATGTTGTTAAATCACAAAAATATTGTGTCTATGGGAAAGATAAAAGCAATGAAAGAGCGATTTTGGTAGTGGGAGTAAGGACAGAGAGATATTGGGTTATTCATTTTGCTATATAGTGAATTAACGTAAATAAAATGTATTTAAAATAATTTTTTTCCCAAGTTTTTTTTATAATAAAGTCTGATCGTTGAAACAAAACATCAGGCAAATGACCGCCTTAAGAATTTTTCGCTAATTTTAATCCGTTTGATATGATTTTTGACAACTGTTAGGTACACATTGGTTGATATGTTAAATGTTTCGATTTCAAGTGCTCAAGAGTTAAAGGTTTATCCGCAAAAACATGGTCCCACAAGAAAAATTCACCCGGTGCCAAATCACACGATCTCGGTGGGTTTTAAAAAAGAGTGGTCCAATTACCCTTCCGCCGGACCAAAAAGCGCTCCAGACAGTAAGCTTTTCTTTGATATGATTTCCTAGAATGGAGTGCAAGCCATAACTGCCTCTTTACTTTTACTTTATTTTATTACAATTTCTTTTTCTGCGATAAAAAGTAAAATAGTATTTTTCAATGTAGTCACTAATTTAAAGCGGAGTAAGCAACCACTTACATCAATAGAAACTAAAGTGGCTCACTCATGACCAGGGTTCAAAACATACCGTGTTAATAGTGAAGATCACTTTTGAAAGTTGCTTGAAGCCAGAAATCAAGTCAATTGTGATGAATTAGACATTCGATCAGCCGATTGTGGTATTTTATACTCAATTAACGACTGCATATGTCGTCAAGATGTGCCGAAATGGGCGGATGCGCTGAACTGATTATAGTCTAGTAGCTCTTTGCCAACAAGAGACGATTCACCGATTGTTAAAAACCAGTATATTTTTTTTTGCTGTAAATGTAATTACCTTAAGTGAAAGTTATCTCTCCTCCTCTCCTTCTCCCGCTTATAGTTTTTGTCAAATAAAGCCTACTAATTTATTCAGTGTATTCCAGGGCTTTAATTACAACAAACTTAACTAATTTACATATAATTTAAATACATATATACTCGTATGAGATACTCATATATACATTATGATTATGTACGTACATAATAACCGGCATAATGAAATTTCAAAGCGAACTAATCCAACGATATTGATACACAATTATTTGTTTAAATAAGTGATTTGCATTTAATATGTTTCATCAGCGTGTATATTAAATAAAAAAAAAATCCCATAAACGCCTGACTGAGCTAATAGTGCTAAAATGTGCATTTAATGAGCTTAAAATGAAAGACACATATACATACACATAAGCATACATATTTCCCTTTACTATATAAAATTAATTATGTGCCATTATATAATAAATTCGTAAGAGTGTTCTGGGATTATAAAATATACATACACACTTACTCGCACGTATTACCTGCATTAGTGTGGAGCGTGAATATGTTAAGTATTTTTTCCCTTGGATAAACCAATTTTTTTATTTCATATTAAAACAATCGCTTTGAAATTATAAAACAATATTTAAGTGGAAAAAGGTTGCAACATATTTATAAAATGATTCATTAAATAATATATTCCTGATAATAGTTAATTTGATTTTATATTAAATTAATTTTTATTTAATGTTTGAATAAAATTAAAAATAATTAAAATAATGAAATTTTCGAAATTTAATAAAATAACGAACAGAATTAGCTAAAAAGAAATTATGGTAATTTAAATAACAAAACATAATAATTAAAATATTTTTATTATGAAAATATATATATATATATGAATATATATATATATGAATTCAATTTTTTTCTTGAAGTTGCGAGAAATAGATTTTGGAACTATTTTAGGACCACCCTGTCCTTTATAAAACATTGCCAGTATGATTAAAAATATTTAAAAAAAATTCCAAATAACAAAAATAAATTATATTGTTTTATATTTTCATAAAATTTATGCATTATTTCAAATATGCTAATTTAAATATAAATATATATAATATTTTGGGGCATTTCAATAGAATAAATTTAAAGCGCATATCGAATTCTGTCACTTTTTAAAAGCAAAAAAAACTGTGTGCAAGATATAAAGTACACAAATATTTAATATGTTTGTATAATAGTTGTTTTAAAAAATTTTTTTTCCAATCAAAATGTATAATTATTCCTTGAGAGATATTGTGTAATTAGGAAAACTTTACCCTTCGTTCGTTAAGGTCAACCACCGCAACGTAATATGTTAATTACATAAGTAAATATGTCAAACAATTATGGTGGCATGTACGTATTATATGCGCAGAAGTGAAAACATATTCTTATAAACAAATAAAAGAAAGCATAATCTTATTACACAATCCATTCCATAGAATTTGTCAAACATACCTTCTTACTGCAATTTTAAGTCAAAAGTAAAAGTAAGGAATAAATGCCCATCCTTTCATCCTTTGCGCACTTGTGTCTCATTTGTGCTGCCTTGATTATGTCATAAGCACATTTTAATCTTATTCAATTACGCTTTTTGTTGAATACGCTTTTGTTTACTTTAATTAGCAGATAATAAGGGGTTATGAAACTGATGAACGACTCATATATCTGTACACGTTTCACTGCCATAGCACAATATGTTTTCATTAAAAACCCATATTCACTCAATCACTTTCGTACAAATAACACACACAACAGGCAACCAAAATTAAACACTTTCATTAATTTCTCTTTTAAGGCTTAGCTTAAAGCGAATGAAGCTATTTGCAGTTTTGAGGGAACGTAGATGAGATTAACTGGCTGGTTAGTATATGCCATTTTAAATGTTATTTTTATAAATTAATTTTAAGTTATTTTATGTTATTTAATTTTTTTCAAATTTTTTTTTTATTTTGTTTTATTTTATGTAATTTTATTTTATATTATTTAATTTAATTTAATTTTATATTATCTTATTTTGTTTTAATTTATTTTACTTAGTTTTCTTAAATTTAATTAAATTCGCTTAATATCTTTGAAATTTATTTTATTTTATTTAATTTTTTTATAATCTTAAGTCGTTTTTGACATCCAAATAATAAACTGATATAGCTAAGTCAATCGTGTGTTTCATTCCTCGGGCTTCTAATTCTGTTAAAATTTTATTTTATTTTACTTTTCTTATTTTATTTTATTTTATTTTATTTTACTTTATTTTATTTGGTTTTACATTAAATTAATTTTTTTTATTTAATTAATTTTTTTTACTTAATTTATTTTAATTTATTTAATTTAATTTTCTTTTATTTTAATTTTAATTATAGTGTTTAAGAACTTGCATTATTTCCCTGAAAGAATTATCGTTTTAAATACTGGAAGCTCGTGTGACTAAGGTCGGTAGACAGCTGATTCCCTTTTCCTTTTTACATCAATGCTGGCAAATTCGTTAAAAGTGTGTTACAAGTGGTTGTATACATACACATACTCAAAAGCTAACCGTTGTTTTCAACATATGTGTTTCGATGATTTATTACTTTAAAATTTCCATTTCTCTGAGATTTTTGCGGACTCGCTGCCAGCTATTAATCATTTGCTGATCAAATTATTAATTAATAAATCTTTGGTTTGCAAATTCGTTCGTGCAACCCCCGCAATTATTGCTAATAAATTACTTTTAATTAGTAATTATCGAAAATGTATTTGGGTTGTTGTACATTCGGGTCAAAGGTGGAATGTCACGTGTGAATTTTCTGTTTAATGTATACTGTTCTGTTTACGTTTGTTTTTTGTATTTGTTTTGGAAATAAATTATTATAAAATGTAATAAAATCTAACACTTACCGGTATGTTGTTGAGTGTGAAATGTAGGTCAGCGCGTGGTCGTGATGGTGGGGTACTGCAATTTGCGCGCAATATGTCGCCCGGCTCATAGCGCACGTGTTCAGTAAAAAGTTGTGGACGTTTCTCGGGAAATTCTGAAGTGAAAAAGTAAGAGGAAAGCAAAATAAAAATGAGAAAAAGGGCAAATATTTTATTTCAGGAATATCATTGACAAGTGTGCTACTTATCAGTTTTAAGGGAATATGAAATCTATTAACAATTTAACATATATCTTCACCCCCATACGTATATTCAAAGATAGTTCCAGCTTCTAACAGTTTTGCCGGGTGTGCGTATCCTTTGAGTGGCGCGTGCGAATGACAAAGCAAATCCCCTTTGATACTATTTCAATCTCATATTTTTATGTTCCTTTTTTCATTTCTCCCCTTTTATTTACATTCACGCTCTATACATTCATCAGTTATTCTCCAATGCAATAATTATTCTTCGTTCTTTCATTTTCACACATCTGAAGTGAACAAAACTCAGCAGGCAAATATTGCAAACAATGAATACAAATAGGCAAGTAGAATATGCTGTAAGTGCTTGCATGCAAATATTTGTATACTTTGCAAATATTCACACTTCAACGCCGGCCTGACAAGCTAAACAATTAAGTATACCAAAATTATTTCCAATATCCTTTGCTTGTAGTGAACAATATATGTAAGGGATTGTATAATTTTGTGTTTATTTAGTTAACAAATATTTTTGTTTCATTTTCATTCTGTTTGATGTGACAGCCGGTAAGTACTTGAGGCCTCCCAAAATATAGCGATTACTGATGCACTGAAAGTAATGGAATATCCCTGGAGTAAAATGTACTAGTTCCTAACAACTTTTAATCTAGCAAAGTGAGGTAAGTCAATATACTCAGAAAGAATTGAAATTGAAATTTAAAACGATGGATTTCAATGAGCAATTAACTAGTCCCAAACTAGAAAAAAGGAGTAAGAGTAAGAGTAAGAGTAAGAGTAAGAGTAAGAGTAAGAGTAAGAGTAAGAGTAAGAGTAAGAGTCATAGTAAGAGTAATAGTAGTAGGTAAGTAATAGTACAATAGTAAGAGTAACAGTAGAAGTAACGTAACAGTAAAAGCAAGGATTGGCATAGCAAGGGAGTATAAGAAGGAGATACAGTGGTATTAGACTAAACTAACTAAAACTAGAGTTAAACTAACAGTAAGAATAAATTGAAAGATATCAATTAGGAATGCATAGATTATACATATTTCAGTGCTAGACAATCTGCACTGGGACTGGGAATATAAGATAGGTGACCCAGCTTCATTTACACTAACATACCTAAATTAGAAGACAGAACGTGTTAGTTTTAGCCCTTTGTATATCGAATGAAAATACATACCAGCTGGAATATTCGTTCTTCTTTCTGAAACCTCATATTAAGTAATTACTGCTAATCTCTTCATTTATATTTTCCTGGAAAATAGCTAAAACTTGATAGTTAAACAAATACGTAGTTGTTGCCTGATTGCTCCCTTATTCCAATTCGTGTCTACACTAGATCATGATAATTAAAAACATTAAATTATATCAAATGCAATACATTTTTGTTGCCTTGTTCACCCAAAAATTTTGTTCCATCCGTTGCATAAGAAGGTGGGTGCGAACTGAAGAAAACGTATTTTTTGATCCTAGAATATGTGGACTTAATTCTGTCAAAGTATCTCAATACCTATTTGAATTACCGTTTATAAGGTTGGACGGAGAAACATACATAGCTGGATATATGTATGTACATCTATATCTAGCTGAAAAATCTAGTAAGGAAACACTGTTAAATAAAACATTAGGAACCTCACATATCAGCTATACTTGGAATACAAAAGTCAAACAACTTGCAGCTTCTTCAGCAAAACAATGCAAAAGAAAAATTTGAAAGAAGTATAGAGGGAGTTGAGAAATGCATAACAATTATGCCACTTGAACTGAAGCAAAGTACACTGACACCGCACTCAACCGCCATTCGCTTCAGTAAGCGACGATCAAGACAAACGCTGACATATTTGTTACAAAAACACACAAGAACAATCAAAATGGAAGAGACAAACAGACGGATATGTATGCGGTTAAAAGGGAAGATAGACAGCAAATGTATTCACAGTTAGACAACATAACCGTTAGAGTGCGGTAGTTGACATGTTTAAGTGGCATACAACACCCATCATTGCCGACGCGCCCACCAAAAACCCATAGCAGCCAACAACCGCCGACCAACAACCATTAGACGACGACTCACTGGCATTGTCTCATAAGTGGTTATGTGTGTGTGTGTAAGGGAATGTCGGGACGCCATCTTCTCAATATCATCGTTATCATCGTTAGCGACGTACGTTGACGCAATTCAACACTCCAGCACAATTGTCAAACAAAAAATAATAAAAATAAAATAAAATATAAACAAAACAAGAATAAAATGAAAAAGGAAAAAAAAAACAATAAAAGGAGGAAGGAAGAGAAAAAAAAATTGACAAATGCAAATACTTGCTAGTACTTCTGATCTTGTTTAGTTGCCATTATTTTACTGGCATTCACATTCATTTGCGTGTTTTTGCTTTCATTATTTTCGTTCTCTCTCTCTCAACACTCTTTTGCATTTACTATGCCATAGAATATGATTTGTATTCATTGCGAATGCGTGTGAACAGAAATGCCAACACAACGGAGGAGTTATGGACAGAAAAAATGTAAACAAAAAAAGAAAAATAAAAACACCATCAAAACAACAGCAAACATCAACATCAACAACCGGCTGTGACATGAAGTATGTAGAGCGTAGTATGAAATGAAATGAAGTGGCTCGACGTGGCGGATGAGTGACATTTGCATTCGGAATTAGTGCGAGTATTCACATAGACACTTCTTTCAAAAATGTGTGAATGAATGCATGCTCACAATTCATCATTTGAGACTTCAAATACATATATATGTATGTATATTCATTATGCATTTGCTATTGAAAAAATGGGTATCAAAAGAAAAATAAAGATATTAGAGAAAATCAGAATTAAAGTTCAAAATGTGCCATGGTGAAAGTTTTCAGATCGTTCAAAATTATTTAAGTAAAGTAAAGTAATATTAGATTTTATGAAATTTTCAAGCATAACAACACCTTCTAAGATATAAATTATCTTTTTTTGCAAAAGTTTCAAAATATTTATTTGTATTTTCAATTATTTGATTCAAACGAATTAATAAACAAATTATGAAATAGATAAAAGCGCATAAAATAATTTATGGCAATACTCTACTCTCAACGAAATTAGCTCGAAATGCTTAACTTAGTGCTATAAAGGACATAAGATAGAAACAGGCTCTGCTCCTTTATTTATATAAAGGATTATTAATGAGCGGTCGCACTAGCCGAATGATTATCGGCGCAAACTAACCACAGCTCTAGCACTGGCTAAATCAACTTTAAAATCAATAAAGATTTAGTATGAAAATTAATCTTTCTCGATGTGGTCGCCCATCCGAGTGTAGTTCTGACATAAAATAAAAGCGTCTCCCAAGCATCCAATAGCCGTTCGAAGGCGGCTATGCAAAACTGTAGGTGCTTTCTGCCGGCTGGAAAATCATTTCAGCTGTCATTAAGCGGCAATTGTATGGTGGTAATGATGACTTCAGTTTCGAGTTTCACAGCACGAATTGGTTCTGTTGGATTTCGGAACAAGTAACCCACAAATAAATTGTAACGTTGCGTGATACATAGAGCAATATCCAAGCAAGACATGGTAGCTATCGTCGTTATTGGCAGCTCCTACTTGGTTTTCGTTGGGAAAACCAAAAATGATGCCACACCAAACAGGAACTCGTTGAGGATGCCTTTTGGATATCTCTTTGTTACGTGTGGAGTTTATGAGCCCCAAATGCTGGAGTTCTGCATGTTAAAGTGGCCGTCTAAGTGGAACTGAGCTTCAGCGGTAAAAAGGATTAACTGCTGACAAGCGTCCGTCGTTCAGCCCATTGAGAGAATGAAAAACGCAGCGGATGACAACGAATTTATTTTACTTGGGCCATTTCGCCCTATAGGTGGGAATTCTGATGGATTTACGATGAATTATACGCATGGAAATATGCGTAATTTTGAATTACAGCTGACGACGTCGAGTTGTTGTTTATAGCTGTCCGGGCACAGTATGAGTTTCTGCAGTAACACTTTTGCGAGCTCTGTCTATCGTTTGATAATGAACCAGCTCAGGTGAAGTATAAGCTTAGCCACTTTATAAATTGCATTTGACACATTGGGAGCTTCAATAAAAATATTTAGTTTAGGTTGAAGCAAAATAAAACACAAATACCAGAAATTTTTTCCGGAGTGCTACCAAAATCTTACAAATTGTCGTAATGAGTGCTAAGGTTTTTTCTGTGCAGACAGAAACATGTTTAGAATTAAATGTACAACTACAGTGTTGTAAATTAAAGGAATCCACCTTTCGTAAAAATTAAAGCCAAACATGTGCTTATGAGAAAGTTAGACAACATAAAACATTCTGTTTAAGTATCACATCCCACAGTTGCATAGGAAACCTCCCCTTTCGCCTTTACTCACATTACCTTTTAACTGTCTATATTTTTTCTTTTCATTTTTGTCTATACAAGTATCTATTCAACTGTCTGTGTGAGTGTTTTTGTGTGAAAATAAAAGCCTGCAAGGCAATAAACTTTGTGCAGTCATGCAGTAAGTTAGTTGCCCCCGATCGCTCAAAGCGCACTTTGCATTTGGCCGCCGACAACTGCAGCTTTGTTGCTTTTGTTACAAAGTGTTTCTTAAGGCGCATTTTTTCTGAGGTTCTGCTGATGGATATACTGTTAGTGGTTGCCTTCATGATTGTGTATGCATAGCGTCGGAGCACCTATACCATAACAGGTGTTGCTTCGACAGCGTCTTGGCAAATTTTTATTATTTACAGTCGACTCTCTGCGTTTACATTAATTTTTTACCTTTTCCTTCTTTTCTTTACTCTTTTCATTTCATCTAACCGTCTCTTTGGGCTTGTGGATCTCCGCTGCTCAGAACATTACTAATAGCTCGTTAGCAGGCGCATGTGTTTTTTCAATGCCCTCTGAAAAATAACTTGTGTGCTTGCTTGTCAGTATTTTTAATGCGACAATGTAAATACCTTTTGGGGTGTACTTTACTCATCTTGCCACCTTTGCTTTTGCTAGCGGAGGGAGGCGCCAAAAGGACAAATTTACCTAGCAAATTGTGAAACACATACAAATCTTTAATAGAATAAATTATAAATCACAAAAATAAATGAAATACCAAAAAATATAAAGAATTATAAGGAATTAAAAAAAAAAAAATATTACTTTCAAAAAAATTATTATTTTAATAAATAAAATCAAATAAATATCTAGTAATCCCAAAGTAAATAATGTAACATAAAATATAAAAACTGATGTAAACTAAATGCAAATAATATAAAATAAAATAAAAAATAATAAAATAAAATAAAACAACAAAAGTAAAGCACAGTATATTAAAACAAGAAATATAATAATATAAAATAAAATAAAATTAACCAAAAAATTAAAATGAATTAAAATAAATTAAAAAAATTAAATTAAATTAAATTAAATTAAATTAAATAAAGGAAAATAATATAAAATAAAATAAAATAAAATAAAATAAAATAAAATAAAATAAAAGAAATAAACTAAATTAAATTAAAACAAAATAAAATGAAATAAAGAAAATAAATTAAAAAAATGGAATAAAATACATTCAATTAAATAAAATCAAATCAAATAATTAAATTAATATAAAATTAACCAAATTAAATAAAATTAAATTCAATTAATTCAAATTAAGATAATATAAGATAAAATAAAATAATTACAATTATATAATATTAAATCAAATTACATGAAATAAAATCAAACAAAATTAAATTAAATATAACAAAATAAAATAAAGTAAAATAAATTAAAATTCGGCGAAATAAAATAAAATCAAATTAATTAGAAAAATAGTTTAAATAAAGCAGAATATAGTAAAATGAAATCAAAAATAAATTCAATTTAAATTTAGTTGAATATGAAAAGAAATAATTAAAATAACTATAAAAATTTAATGAAATGAAAGTAAATAAAAAAATTCGAATCAAATTGATTAAAATAAATTAAATAAAAGTGTATTGATTTCAATTTGAAGAAATTGAAAAATATCAGGAAAATAAAATTATATATTGATTTAATAAAAATTAATTTTAAATTAATGAGAAAATAAATAACAAAAAAAACTTTAATGATATTAATGTAAATTAAATTTTTAAAAAGTTAAATAAATAAGAATAATAAGATATGAAATAGACTATAACATAATAACGGATGTGAAAGAGCCTTTCGGAGTGTTCTGGCAGTTCTTTTTTACATATTTTGTGAGCTACCAAATGAAGAAAGGTATTCTTTGAAATAGATACCCTTTCTCCTCTCTAGCTAGTACTCCGTCCAATAGAACTTTAGAAAGTAAAATAAATATTTTAAATAGATAATCATTTTTGCGCGCCTTAATATATTTGAGTAAAGTGTGATATAATGTCAGGTTTTTAAATTTGAGCTACAGAATTTTCGAGCACATTTAACCACAAGACCAAAGCTGCCAACTTCAAACAACCTTGAATCATACCCCTTTAACTTTTAACTCTCGAATTTAGTCTCACAATTATTGCTTGGCTCATTATATGCACTTTATTTTTGGTTACTTATTTTCTTACCGGAGCACTTGTGAAAGTGAATTGAATTTTTCAATTATGAATGCACATAATTAGCCAAAAACTTTTCCTAAAATGCCAAACTTTTGACAGTTGAGCGTTAAAATTTGGCCGCAATGGCAAAAGGTGAGGTGAGAAAAAACTGCACCAAGGAATACAATAAGTATTGAAGAAAAAGAGAAAGGAAGAGGAAGAAAAAGTAAACTTACCAACAACTTGTACTTGCGCATAAGCGGTGGCGGTGGAAAAGAGCGGTGCATCGGCAGTGACTTCGCAAGAAAAGTTACCGGATAAACTGAATTTCACGTCGCGTATAACAACTTGTGTGGCATTGGAGATAACTTCCTGAAATGCGTGGGAAAGAAAAAAGAAAAGAAAGAGTGGAAAATATAATTAATATTTTGATGATAGCTTATGATTGGGTGTATATGTCAGAAGGAAAAGAAACCAAATGAAATGGGAAAATACGGCGGTACAAAACATAACTGCTACTATAAATTTTTTCAGCACTTCTCAGAAGGAGTGAACGTACATTTATGGTTAATATTTGTCAATAATTTTTATATATAATATTAAGCCCAAATGTAGGTGACGTTTTTTCATTTACACGTGCAGAGGAAATTTAAGTTAGACAAACACGTAGCCTACATTTCGGCTTTTTTAACGCGAAAAAAAACTTTAGGCATATGCAGTGAAATAAATATCAAAATACATTTTTAATCAAATAATAAAGTGCAGGGAATAAAATGTAAAATATTAAAGTTTGGGTTATAATTTAAACGGATATTATTTATTTTCTGGGATAGCTATTTCAAATACAATACTTACATCAACTTTAATGCCCGGATATTGAAAATGTTTTACATTTGGAAATTCTCCAGGTGTATAACGGTAAAATTCATAATTGCCTCGATAGTATTTGATTGAGTAGAGCGGTGCACCTTCCAATGCATACTGGCAACGTAAAATAACCGATTGGCCACGTCGCACTGCTGGTGGTTCGATAAATAAATTGACATTGCTTAAAGTAGCCTGGGCATAATCTGTAATAGATAAGAGTAATAACAGAAATTAGTACAGAGCAGAGATTTAAAAATTATTTTCTTATTCAACAAATTTTATTCAAATTTTTTATTTTAGTAATTTAAGAAAAAAAAATTTAAAAAATAAATAAATAAAATTAAAAAAAATTCATTTATATCGTGTGAAACACTGCATTGATCCAATCAAACACAAAAATCATAAAACTTTTAAAACTATTTACTATCAAAAAATTAAAATTAATTTTAAAATTCAATTTTTACTTCCAATTTTATCTATATAACTCACTATTGACTTAAATAATGTTGTAACTTTGAAAAATATATACGTTACCATTGCCTACCTTTAGGCACTTAGGTTTTAAATGAAATTCTCAATAGAGTTTCCCAAAGCGAAAAATTTGAAAATTCATTAAAGCTTTACGAATTTTACCAGCCACCAGCGCACACGCATTCACACTTACATAAACAACGCAGTATAAAGCACCACTAGCATTTAGCGGCAATTTCCGAAACTAACAGGAGAATAAATGAAAAAAAAGACTAACAAAAATCAACCGACATAAATCCAATGGTATTAAGTTAAAAGTTAGCTCACATGCCAAAAGCAATTTTGAGATTTATTCTACCGCCCAGCGTATATCAAATTCAGTACATGCGTATGCTATTTACAAAAAAAAATTATATTTTTAGATAGTTATGTATACCCAAATGTATGTATAGGCGTATTAAAGTGTGCGTGTATTTGATATAAAACGCAACCATCGATCAGTCGTCAGTTTTGCTGCAAACCCAATACCAAACTGTCGAATTTGCTACGCTTTTGACGTTGCTAAAAAAAAAAAACAAAAAAATAAAAAAATAATATCTTTGCCATTTTCACAGTAGTGAATTTTTCAATTTTTATTTTCGACTCTTCTGTTAGATTTCAGCCCTATTGGAACCCAGCTGCGAAAGCTGCCACACTGGCACACAAGAGCAGTAACTAGCGACAATGTTCATGTGTTTGTGTTTTAGGGCGAAACACATAAATCAATTAAAACTAAAATGTCACACCATTTTGAAAGTTTTTCACTCCTTGATTTTCAGCCAATTTCTGATTTCGTGTCTGTTTGTGTTTTTGTGTGTGTGAGGTGAACTCAAAGGCCCATCGCTGCCTAAAGGTCATTTGTTGTGCTTACCACGCTCTGGTATTTGTTCTATATCCATAGTTGTTTGTGTCGCGACACGAGGAAAAAATATTGATACAAAGAAAATAAAAGAAATAAAAAAATGTATGAATTTTCAAATCTCCAGCTCCGCTTGCATCAATTGCTTGTTTTTTGAAAATATTTTCTGTTTAGCTCTTGGCTTCGTCAGTCACACACGAGCAAATTTAGAAACATCAAATAAATTTAAAGATAAGCCCAACACCATTTTTTTCGCATATTGGTATAAGCATTGGAGCAAATGGTTTTTTTTACTCATTCCATAGGCTTGACTGCAGCGGTAGTTTTGGCCACGTATTGGAAGCTGTTGAGGGACAAACGTTAGCACTCTTAGGATAAGTGACAAATAACCAGTCCAAGGTAAATTTTCTATTTTATGTATCAACCATTCTTATTTATTAAAAGAAAATTCACGTATATATGTATATATATTACAGAATATATACTTTTGATTCAAAGAATTCAGCATTTATATACCAGAGAATATCATTATTTGTGTTATCTAAATGTAGGCAACGTTTCACTTAGCAACCTTTCACACAATTGAAAATGTTGCCTACATTTAAGCGAACCGAGCAAAATTATAATGACTGCTAAAGATTTAAGAAACAAGAAATATCCTTTATGAAGGAAGGGAAATATAAATTAATTCCGTCTTAGTTTACCACCTTACAAGAAAGTTTTAAAATATAATATAAGGCATTGTGTCAACGTATATTATTTATTATGAAAGCGCTTACCACAACCAATCATAGCTCTAAAGACCACGTATGGTATAGTGCATAATGACACTGCACGTAGATCATCTTTCTTTTCGAGCTGATCGACATAAGCCTCAACTGCATGAACTGTACGTACTCGAAAGCGTTGCCACTTGATGTTCTTGCAGATTCGCTGATCTATTTATTCGCTTGCCCTCCACTATTTAGGTCTGGCGTTTAGGAAATTTTTACTATCTATATATAGGCCTTCTGGATATCCTCAATCGACTCAAAAGATGTTCCTTTGACCACCAATTTTGTTCGAGGGAATAAAAAAGTCACAGAGTGACTTATCGGCCGAATAAGGCGGTTGTTGTAACAGAGATATGCCATTACATGCCAAATACTGGGACACGCTGAAGGCGATGTGGCACGGCGCGTTGTAGTGATGAAGGATCCAGTTATGAGAGATGTCTGGGCGCACCTTGTTGACTCGTTTTCGCAATCTTTCCAGTACTTGGATATAGTAAACTTGATTTACGGTTTGCCCTGACGGGGAAAATTCTTTGTGGCTATCAAAAAAGGCAATAATCATCGTTTTCGTGACGAGCACCACGAACACACGTTTCCTCAACACGACACAGCAGGTGAACTAAACCAGTTACAGCGATGACAAATATATCAATAGAGAAGATAAGAACGCCTGGAGAAGGGTTACCACAATCGCAGTAATATAATCAGTTTCATTACTTTATTGGCACAGCTCGTATTTCTCCTTTTAAAATTCGCCTATTTGTGGTATGCACCTGATTTGCTTACCATCATTGGAGTTTTCTACAACTTTGTTCATGTTCTTTTCCTTTTATAACGGTGTCTCATTTGAGCATGTACCGCTGGTTGATGTCTTCGTAAAGCTAAATACTGACTTCACCACCGGGCAAGAAGCCCGAGGGACGGGGTGAGAGCAAAAGAAGGTGATTCCTTACGAAATCTGCTCTAACAGTCATAAAAAGAAGAGCGAAATTGGTGTTGGATTTGTGGTGATGGCCCTAACGTTTACTCCGAAGAATGAACGCCCAATCACAATCCGCATCAAAGCAAGTTTTCAATAGTTCATTGATTTGCGACCACATGCTTATGAAAGAAGAGGGTAAGCATAGATATTGCTTTTTGCATAAAGTTAAGAAATTCTGCCTCAAACCGCAATCGAATATGACGTAAAGAAGCCCCTTTACCCAACCCGACGAGACTCGAGTATCAATATGTACAGCAAAGTGCGAGGAGCCGAAGGTTTACAGGTAGAGTTATGAAAACCTTGCGGCGAAGAACTCACAATTTGTACGCTTTAGCTGTTTTGCAGAACCAAGACATGCTCCACCCAATGCATTTGACCTGTAATATTTTAATGCATTTACGATGCTATCGAACGGATCGTGTGAAAATCTAAGCCCACCGTCAAGGAACTGATTGAACTATATCAGACCAAAAAAACCCACCATTGACCAGATATTCACTATGAGCCAAACCTTTGAACCACCCATCACCATTGCAATGAATAACTAAACCTGATTTCAATATCCTGACCGTGTAAACTGACACATGACAATGAATTAAGAAAGGCTTCTCCGTGCCGGTTGGTATTAAAAATGATTTCAGACTCTTTATCATCTGATCTTTATTTTGTTGCTGAAGAAAATAATAAGAGCCGCCTAATTTAATAGAGAAAGGTGCAGAGCTGCTGGTATGGGGCGATGATATTTGCATCTTAGACTTTAACAACCGAGCCTATAGTTTTGCCTGCTCCAAAAGCAGGGCGTGACACGAAAGCGAGGCGAATGAGTCTGGTGGTCAACGTCTAAAAGTCGAAATATCTCCAGTCGTCAAATAAAGCGTCAGCACATTGGCTTACTCGTTACTCTTGTCAGTCATATATTCGAGGTTGTATTTTACTTTCCAGTTCAAATGAAGAGCGAACTGGTATCACTTGGTATTTTTCTCTGGGACGAAGTAGCGAAAAGAAAGAATGAGTGGCGCGATAATGTAGATTTGATTATAATTCCTTAGTCGTTGCCTCTTCTAATGAGGAAAGGTTAAATGTTTCCTGCGGAAAAGCGACTGCAAATACACGGTTTTCTGTTAGATATTAGTCTGCTGAGTATACGAGTTTTCTTTCAAGTTTTCTGATTGAAATGGTCTTAGCTGTCTTATAAACGCACAGTCACCTTTTGTGATGGAACATCAATTGATTGTATTCATTCCAAATTTATCAAATTTTTACTAGTTTATTTATTTAATGATTTACCACTTATATTAAAAAATAAAGTCTTTTTTCGAAGGTCATACAAAGTAGCGCAAGTATATCAAAAATCCATTTCACTCTTGTATGTATGTATATATTTTGTACCAAAAGCTTTAAAATCTTATGGTGAACCATTCTTTGAATCGATTTTATGCTTTAACATTTGCTGATGCTACCCATTTTTTCGTGCTGTGCTTTGCCTTTATTTCCACAACTTTCTCCATTTGTGCCATATGTAAGCTTGCTCTCCAGTTTTTACTTTTATTTCGCCTTTGGATTTGTTTTTGTACGCATTGTGCATACGTGCGCTGACAATCGTGATAAGAGCATTAACCTCAAAAGGATATGGTAGTGCGTTTACACATACATCATTACACAGTAGACAAGCGTTGCCGCAGATATATAAGAGCTGAACGTAGCAGATGAGTATGAGTTCGTCGACGGCAAGTTGGCAGCAGCCATCAGCCAACAGAAATTGAAAGACAATACACTTATGAAGGCTCACACAGTACACACACACACATGTGCATGTCGAATAAACGGGTGTCAGAATGTGTGTGCTTACTTTAGCGCCATCAAAATCACCATCCACATCAACGTCAACATTAACGAGAATATGTCAAAGACAGAGGACGTAAGAGCTGCAGGAGTTTGTTAAAGCCAGGAAGGAGCAGGTAAACCAGAAAATTTTCTGTATTTCACCGCCTATCTGACTGACTTAAAGTGCGACTGAACAGACATCTACACAGAAACTATAGTCAGGCGCGAGTGTTGGGCGTTGATGATTGCAATGAG